CCAACCAGTCGACAAAGTATCAACGCTACGCAGCCACTCAATCCGTTCACTCAATCCCCGTCCCGTACCTTCAGTCCCCACGTATGGAACGTCCATAACTACCCCTATCTCTCATCAGCGGAACCGCAAGTTCGTACCACCGTAGGGTATGGACACCCGCCACCCGACGAAAAGGTTTTTCACAAACCGTGTATGACACCGGCCGAGCCGAGGTTTAGTAATTGGCGGGTGGAGGGTTACTCCAGTGAGTCTGAGACTTCAGCTGTTCTGGAAGCATGGCTGGATAAGGAAGGATGGCGCACTGGTTTCATCGGAATCCGATCAAAGCGACCGAGCACGTGGGTTTTGAGCTGAAGTCGATCCTGACCACGCCACAAACTTCCAGGATATGCAGGTATGAAGCTGCCTTGATTTGTTTCACTTATGCGAACTGCACTCAAATGTGCTGTGTGCATATTTTGCACTGCCCGACGGTGTTACACTGGTATTGTATCACCGTCGGGCAGTGCAAAAATACACATAAAGTGCCCCATCTGCTGTGTGGAACAGAAGAGCCGGTGGTGTGGTGTAGTGAAGAGAAGTGGTTCGATTCTCTCCCGGTCCAAATTTGTTTGCACGAAAGATAGTCATGTAGACGTCGGTTTCGCTGTCTTGACTGCCAGTACTGGAAAATCCTGAAATTACGTAGGAAAAAAAGAGATAGACGATCTACTGAACAGGCGTCAGATTTCTTGAGAACACTTTCTGGGGAACTGTACATCGTTGCGTTTATTTTTGAATGTTTCAGTGAACTTCGCCTTCGACGTGACCACCTGCTCGAACATTTTCGGGACGCCAGTAATGACCTGGACACGTTGGACGATGACTTCAAGCAGTATCTTGCACTGTTCGCCGGCTTTGTGGTTGCAATTGATGGTGCTGACGTTAGCATGTCGAAGGCCAGCAAACTGTCGCCGGTGCTCAGATTTCGATGGACCAGTTCAATGCTTGGCACGACTGCCAGGTGAGTGCCGGGCAAAATTGCTTCGATTATCAACTGCTACAGTCTTTCGCAGTTCGCCGCTGCTCAGCTGCAAACATAATACAAGCCAGTGCAGCTTGAATGGGCTGCACTCCACTGGTCGGAATGTTGTCAGAGTGAGCTGTATTTGCAGTGAAGTGAACGAGAGTTGGTTTGAAGTGCTAAATATGTGCGTGAATATGGCGCTGTGGCTGTCGAAGCATGCTGCGTGGATTGCTGCCAAGGATGAGGTGTTTGAGGGTGATGCGAAGAAGTCACACACATGCTTGCGGCGGGCCGCTGGAATCCTGATGTTTGTCCAGCAGAATACCTGTGAGTTTTTTTTTTTTTTTTTCAGTAGTAAACGGTAGATGCTTTTGACTTTCACCGCCACTTTTCATCTTTTTCTCGTACTTGACTTCTGCTTTGTTATCGCAGTCGGTTTTGTCATCCTGTGATTCCAGCCATTTTCTATTTCGTTGCAGGTCGAGTCGGTGGATTGTCGGCAATCGCTGGATCAGATTTCGATGGAGCTGTACTTTCTGCCTACATCAATCAGTTCACTGCGGAAGCGCAAGAAATCACCGTTGCCCGTGCCATTGAGCTGAAGCACAGTCCTAGTCTTATTTCAGCACTTGCCCACGAGACAAGCGAGATATTTGCTAAAGCAGGTGAAAATGTTTTTCGTCCTCCTTTTCCCTTTTTAAGCTAGTTCTACTGTTTTTTCTAATATGCCTTTAAACGAGAAATGCAGTTATCCATTTATAATATACATGTTTCATTTTGTTGTTGCACTAGTCTGAGCCATATTTGGTGAATTGTTCCCCCGGGTCTGAAACTTACTTGTTTTAATTTTATTTTAGATGCTCCCCCCTTTTCTACTCCGTACAGATTTAAGGTTCCGTTAGGAATTTCCACGAGTTTTGCACCTGTACCGCTCTAAAAGCAGCTGGAAGTTACGCAGCACTGAGGCCTGTTTCATAGCTCCATTAACGGAAGCTACATCATCTGATAGCCAACAGTCCGATTATTCGGACGATCAGTTCCTTCTGCCTTTCCTCGTCCTTCGAAAGAAAATTGCTTATTGCAGTTTGCACCTTCGGTCTTGGCCCACAAGAAGGAGGTTTACTGGGAGTTAATGACCGTACTGGGCATGGACGGCGCCTTCAAATAACTCTTGTAACTTCTGCAGAAGATTGTATCTCATTTATCGCATTCCCTGTGCTGGTTGTTGCTTGCTGGTATGAGGTGTTCTCTGGTTAGAGCATGACCACGTGGATGAACTTTGAAGTGCTGTGCATACGTCAAGTATGGTGAAGGGGGTAATCTCATGACAGCTAGATTAGAGCGAGAGATCGTTCGAGGAGGTGTTGACATAACTGTACTTGGTATATGACTGCGTCTCAGTAGTATGGACTTCAGTGGGATCATGCAGACGATTTTAGTTGCTTAGGTAAACTTTATGAATTCGTAAGTTTCCCGCTGACTATAAATATGAGCACATAACGCTGTCTTTTTGTTGAATATGCCCACCAAACCAGATTGTGATAAGCACATTTTTTTGTTCAGTTCGATTTTAAACTGATTAGGCTACTACGCTAGTAATACTTATGATTTTCACGGGCAGATATTCGAGTGGGAATTGTAGCCAAGAGACGCTAGCACAACACCTCGTCGTATTTTTTATCAATCTTGTACTGTATCAAAAGTTCTTGGTTATTCAGTTAAAAGCATCGAAAAGTTGGACCAATCAACCTTCGCAAAATGGCGCAGTTATCTGCAGCTGAAGAGTCAGATATACACGGCGTATGCTTACGCGTTTTTGGGTGAAAATTTGCTGTCAGAAGATCGATGT